CCATATAAGAAAAAAATAAAATTTTCTGACTATAGGTCGCAAATAACTTGATTATATTCGCCGATAAAAGGCATTTAACCTGTGTAATAATTCTGTACCATATAATAAAAAAATAACATTTTCCGGCGTTACTACGAAGCACAATTCACGTACATCGGCGTTACCTCATAAAAACGTTTTGAATCACATTTTGTAAGTTTATTTTCAGTGTTCTATATCACAAAAAGATAGGTTTATGTCACTTGCCTACCGAAATTCGAAATTATACGGAATAATATGCAGTGTTGTACTTATAAGAGCCGACAAAAAGCAAAAATCTCTCTCAAATCGGTGGTCAAGTCATCATTTTCATGGATGATCTTGAAAAGTAAACAATATCGTGGAAATAATCTTGATGAGGGATATAGTGTTATGTCTACGCAGCCGTATGTGGCTACAATCGCCCTCGGCCCTTTCCGTCAGTCTTCGGATGGACCTCGAACACAACAGTATGAATACACAGAACGGATGCGGTATTTCGGTCTTACCTACGCTAAGAAACTAAACATGTAAACAAATAGTAATTTAATGCTGGGAGTTGTTGACAAGTTTATTTCCAATATATGTAGTAAAAGTCCACCTAAAATAAGTGAATTCATAGGTACAAAAGCATACTACATTATTTATATATTTATTATTATGGCTGTTGAAATAACCAACCTATTGACATTTAGTCGGATTTGTTTAAAATTGAACATCAGTGGGCATATTTAAATTACAAATTGTTGTCAGACATATTTTCATGCATAAGAGTACCGGAACAGACATTATATGTCAAATATATACATTCGTTTTACATTATCTCTGTTTCTGTTTACATCTGAAACCACGTGGTAGAACTACTTTCAATCCTTATTGTTTCCGAGGTTATTATAGATAATAGCCGAGGCAGTTCCGAATGATGTGGCTATTGATGTTTTTCAGTTCGTTCATAAAATATATATTAGCCAGTTTTGTTACCGCGTTGGAAATCCTGTCAGGTATCCGCCATTTATTGCACAATTCTGCGTTTTACTTACTTATTACACGAATCGTGCGTTATTTTCACATTCCGGCGTTACTGGATATACACGTGGTGATTATGGGAAAAAAACACGAGCATTTCTAGAAAAGTCGGTCATTATGAGATTCGGAAATTCTGATTAGCGGTTTCATTCCACAGAAAAATTTGACACTATTTCCTTGTAGCAGTAACACTACACAGATGAAGCATGCAGTAAAAATAAGTAAAAATGTTATTGTGTTTTTGTTAATATAGCAATATTAATGAGTAAAATTAACAATAATTAAGCCCAATAATCATTAGTTATTATTAATATTATCATTAGTTATTATTAATATAATCATTAGTTATTATTAATATAATAATAATGATGATTGCAATCTTGGATTGCAATTCTACATTTTTGCCACACACAAAAAAATCGTCAAATGGCGACTTTATAATAGTGAGGAAGACCTCAGGTGCCTCTTCATGCATTATTTCACAGGGCTGGGAATCAAAACTGCGTCGTATCCTACAAATTGTAAACAAACGCCGCCATCTTGGAACGAAAAATGTATGTTTTTGTTTATAACTCTTTTTGTTGGAAATGACTGAAAACCAGATATATGTATTAACACGCTACACTATTTTCCGCTTCGTTCGGTATATGTTGCTGGCACAACTATTTTGTAAAGTAAAACAAAAGTTATAGCGAACTTGCAACTCGAAGCGGAGCAGAATTTTAATGAAAATGTGTGGATACGACGCAGTTCATATTGCTTTATCTATCGTTTTTTCCTTCAAATCAAAAATATATTCGTTTTCAGGGTTCACCATAAACTTCAAAACATAATTTTGCATCATTTACTAAACTTTCACCAAAAAGAGATGTTTATTTTCCAAGAAAACAATGATTTTTACGAAATGATACGACGCAGTTGAAAATAAAATATGATACGACGCCGTTGTATTTTCATTGCAGGCTGCATATTGGTTAAACTATTTAAATTATGTGCTAGGTATGCTAAAAATGTCCATCAACATTTCTTGTTTACAACTTAAGTCAAAAGCAGAGGTCACTCATTGGTTCCATAAAAATGGAAATGTAATACAATTCCATTAAGGCTGCATTTTTCGGTCGCATTTTAGTACCTATCATAAGCATCTACAAATTCCGAAAAGCTGTATCAAATGCAATATACATTGAAACACGTGATCGCACACCCATATGATAACGTGTTCTAGTGTTGCCTTAGCATGTTTCTAAAATTGTTCCCGTGAGTTCGAAACGGGAGTGATTACTATTTTTTAAAATTCAATATTCCTGTGTAACCTCTCCTGGACCCTGTATTAATCAGGAATGACCTTTTTTTTTAAAAAAAAGGGAAAGAATAACAAATTTTGAAAAGGTCTCTTGCTATCGGAAAAATGCATGCCTACCTTTGTTACTTGTAATTAGCAATAATTTCCGTCCATTTCGTCATTACTTATGTCTTTTGCGTGCCGATTTTATTGTATTCATTTTCTTTATAATCGGTGAGAACAGATGAGCTTTATTATTTGAAACTGAACTTTAAATTTTTAAAATTATATTATAAATGGATAAGCTACAATATATTTTTGCAAGTAGGTTATGCGTTCCGTTTAGTCATTTTATGTTCAGCGCCGCGGAACTTTGCCGCTGATTTTGTCGTAACGCATTTCTTTATCGCCGATGAGGAAAGGTCTACGGAATGTAAAAAAAAACTTTAAATTTTCAAAATCGAGTTACATATGATACAACTACAAATTATTTTGTAAAGAAGGTGTTGCAAAGGTACTTTACGCTGTGCACCGATATATTTGATACAGATGTAGGCAGACATGATCTTTCAACAGTATTGAAGAAGTTTTCACAAAATTGAACAGAAAATTTAGGTCAGATTATCGCATCGAATTTTCAACAGCCTAGAGACATGGCATCTTAACATACCTCCATACTAAAGTGTGATTATTATTTGATAATGAATTGCCTGAAAACTTAAACAAAAGTTTTCAGAAAATGACTTCACAGAGGATTACCCCCTGTTTACATTGAAAATTTCTCTGCTAGTCATACCGAAATAAGAAATTTAAATGTTATTCTCTTTATAATTAATTCAAATATTTATAATCTTAAAACTTCACGCCAGAAGTTAATAAAAAAGGTGCTTATTTGTACAGCTGACGTTAACAAACTTTGTTTTAAAAAAAAATCAGACAGGTGTGTCTGACCGAGGCCGAGCTGTTTATGTTTACAGAATTCAAATCACTTGAACTGAACTGCTATGAATTCGAAAACCACCAGGGACTTTTAATTCTTTCGTTTGGAAAACCTATCAAGCTAGTTTCAAAATGTCGATGGTTCTCTGCAGGTGCAACATTTTGCCTGAAATAATACACAAAGGCGCACCTGAGGTCCTCGCCCCTAGTATAGCTAATGTGTAGAGTGAAAGTTTGAAGACAAACCACAAAAAAGCAGTCATTACCCAGAACATGCAGACCCACAGTTAACTTAGAGCGTAGCTAGCCAAAATGAATTCAAATTAATAGATTTCTACATTTTTTATGCGAAAAAAAAAATAGGGATAATATTGAACAGACAGGAAAATATAAGAATTTATTTCAGATATTATGATCAATTAGGTAACATAATTATATTTAACTGAAAGTAGCTTCCGTAATGTAAACATTCAAATTAAATGTTATATTGGACATGACACACTGTATTCTAAATAATTGCTATATACGGCAAATGATCTGGGTTTTTTTTCTATCTAGCGCAAGTGATTATTCCATAAAAAAAGAAATACATTGCCAAAATTATCCTTGTTGAAAAGACTGTCAAAAATACAACTGCGTCGTATCATATTTTATTTTCAACTGCGTCGTATCATTTCGTATAAATCATTATTTTCTTAGAAAATAAACATCTCTTTTTAATGAAATTTTAGTAAATTATGCAAAATTAAATTTCGAAGTTTATGGTGAACTCTGAAACAAATATATAATTGATTTGAAGGAAAAAACGATAAATAAAGCAATATGAACTGCGTCGTATCCACACATTTTCATAAAAATTCTTCTCCGCTTCGAGTTGCAAGTTCGCTATAACTTTTGTTTTACAAAATAGTTGTGCAAGCAACATATACCGAACGAAGCGGAAAATAGTGTAGCGTGATAATACATATATCTGGTTTTCAGTCATTTCCAACAAAAAAAGTTATAAACAAAAACATACGTTTTTCGTTCCAAGATGGCGGCGTTTGTTTACATTTTGTAGGATACGACGCAGTTTTGATTCCCAGCCCTGATTTCACGTGATGTGATACAATCGCGTATGACCAACCTTTTTCATTACGTTTAGGTTATTATTCATTATAGTATGCATTTAACAAAAATAAATTGGTCTGGAACGGCACAGTCGTTCGGCCGAGTTAATGTAGTAAATGCTTTCTTTGAAATTATTTTTTTTATATAAAAAAGATAGACTGATTAAATTTAGCCGATTTACTAAAGTAAACATTTGAAATACTGCAATTCTATTGGACAAAAATTAAATCAAAACACTTAACAACGGAAAATGACGAAGCCTGCCGACTTCATACGATCTAATGATGGGATAATTAAATTAATTTCGAAAATCTCTTTACCAAGTTTGTCGGGTTTATACGATTGTTAATGGATGTAATACCTTAAATCAAATGCCGTTCTAATGTACATGCAGAGAGCATTAGTGGTTACGTAATAGGTTAGTTAGAACACAGAAAATGTTCCAAACCATGCGATATAAACCAATGGAAATAACTGCCGCAGAATCTTATGTTAGTTTCATATACATGTATAAAAAGTCGTGCATATTTCAAAACAAGTCTGAAGTAAACATTATGTTAAGAGAGGTGCTCTCATTCATTTCCGGATGTATATATAGTTTCTCTTATGTTTACACAAGGCCAACAACAAATTTTACATGCTTTGCAATGGAAAATGCATGCAACGCTTAAATGATTTTTTTTTGTTTTGTGTTTTTGTAAAAGTGCGGAATAACACGGGCGTTTGTTATTATATCGGAGCATGTATTACTCTCATTTCTTGTTTGTACGTGTAGATATTCATCTTTTGAACTGTTTAAAAGCCGCAATTATTTCCTAAAAACAAAAAGAAAAATGGCAGCGCCTTGTATTAATTTTAACAGTAAATACTGTACAATACACTGTGTTGTTGTGATTTTATGGGATATTTCGTCCGCATTTGCCTATCTAAAGCCGTGACTGTTATCATGTCGGTGAAGATAAAAGTGTTATAAGGGTCTTTGGCCCTATAAACTCACTGGTAGATAATTGTAACGGATCAAGATGCGCAGTCGTCTAAATATCGGCATTTTAATTTTTAGTTTCGGGTTATTTGTGGTATTATTTCTCAGCACGAGACGATCAGCAGACCAGGTGGTTTGCCCGGTACAGGTATTCGAAGAGCCGGTGTATCACGTGCCAATTTATTTACGGGATGTTAAAGAGGAAAGTGACAAACATTATATTGTGCTTCAGAAAACTCTAAAAGATGACAGAAATCTATTGTCAAAGGAATTAAATAACCAGCGTCGAAAAATTGGCCAGCAAGATTGTGAGGTGAGTTGTTCTTGCATTTTCTCTTTTTTTATTCTTTCCTTTTTTCTGCATTGTTGTATGTTTTTTGCTCTCTTTCTTAAGTATCAATACAAAGTAATCTGTTAGATATATCTGTATATTTAATTATGCGCTCTACATAGCGGCCATGTCATGATGTGTCTTTATAACAACAGTATCCACACTTTAAAAACAGAAATCTTTGTCTTTCAAAGGCTGTTGCTAAATGGAAGTTGCACTATATGTATCGTTATGTGTTGTTGTTTTTTTTTTGGTGTTTTTTTCTGTTGTTTTTTGTTTGTTAGCTTGCTTTTTGGGTTTTTTTTTGTGCATTTATATGTAAACATCGAGACAACATTTTTAAACCACAGTTACACATATACTAATAGCCACATCGGTATATAGAACTGATTGCTCGAATGCTTCCAGAATACCTGTCACCCATGATTATCTATTTATTTCCTCAACGTACATATTTACCAGGTTTTAAAGACGATCTTTCAATAAAAACAGTTTTTTTTCTTTTTTCTAATATTGTTCTTTAATTTTATGAAACCAATGCTGAATAAAATTGACTGTATGTTGACTGTTTCGAATGACCTATGGCTTTTTGTATATGAATGTGATCAAGAATTTAAAATTTATTAAAATGTTACATATGATTTAAGTATAATATTTCTAATAGGTAATCTATAGTTATGTCTGCCAGATATATTATGTCTGTAATCATAATTATGTCTGATTACATTTGATTACTTATGTCTGGCCCAATAATGATCCTTAAAACGCTCTCAATAGGCAAGTATGTTGAAGAAATACTAGCGGCGCTAAAATACACCCCATCAACACTGCCAATTTCCTTCGGGATAATCTATCACAGTTATCCGTTTATAAGTTTGAGATACCTTCGACCCTTTAAGCTATGTGTCCTGTAAACAAATCAATTGATACCATCAAAACGCGGTTTGTTTCCCCTCTAGAAGGGTTTTTGCTGGTCCTAGGTCGAGACAGATACAAAACAATGTAATAACGAATACAAACCACTTGAAATTCTTAAAAGGTTTTCCGTGTGATATAGTTGGTAAAGCAGGCTCAAATCGTGACCGAATTTGAGTAAACGATCAAGATAGGAATGAAAATATACGCTTTAGAGAGGAAACTTTCCTAATACCACAATGATGGGAAATCTTCTTGGTAGCTAGGCAAAGATTTAGTTTTTGTGATAGAAATTCAACAGGTGAAAATCATCCGGTATTCTCTTTTTTAGCTCGACTATTCAAAGAATAGGGAGGGCTTTTGTACTAATTCCCGGCGTCGCTGTTTAAAATTAGATCAGTTTTTGCGTGCCACACTTAAGTTAATTTTAATCGTGCAAGTTGGTATCTCCAAAACTATTGAAGGAAATTGGTTGAAACTCCACATACATGTCCTCTGTGATTATTTAACATGATCGGCAAAGGTCCCCTAACTCTAAGTTGCCTTTTACAGAGTCATGGCCCTTTTCTTAATGTAAAACACTGAGAATAGTCACGCTCTGTCTTACGGACATCGTCCGATACCCACGGTTGCTTATTGGTTCGGCCATGGGTATCTGACGATGTTTTACGGACAGCTTTTGTTGTGTATACAATAATATACATATACCACTGCGGTATACCGTACCCCGGATATTGCTCGATATTATGAGGACTTTCATCCCATTTCGCGACTTTGAAAGGGGAACGAAGGTAAGTTCAGCGACGATATTTTCCAAACTAATGGCTATTTCATTTATCTAAACGGGTTTTATATATCTAGAGGTATTTTTGTAGCTCTAAAAGACGTAAAAGTATTACAGGTATTTGTAAAATTGATTAAACTACCCCTAAACGATCGGCTGCTCACTAGAAAATACTGGCCGCGATACTGTAGAATCGTTAGAAATTATTATATTACCAATATAAAAAAAAATTGAATCGAGCAATTTTTTTATTCACAATCCAAGTATGCCTTGTCCAAATTTCAGGCAAAAAGTGTGAAAGTACAAAAAGATACAGGCCAAAAAAGATACAAGACAGTGTACCGAGTATTGATTTTAAGTGTACAGAGTATTGCAAAAAAGCCCAACTTTAGTGTACAGAGTATTGCAAAACAGAATGAGCACATTAGTATAGAAACTCGATATTTTTGTCTAATTTTCACGTCTGTTTATCGATTCAATTTCATTTTTCTGATAATGTACTGTTTATATGATATTTATTCAAATATTTCAGATGCAACAGTGCATTTTCAGTGTTATTACTGTTCTTTTCCTACGGGCAAATACAATTAATGATTTAATTTCCAATTTGGTTGAAAATCACACTATGGATGAAATAAAGTGTGTGCAGGGTCGGAAGCAGGGTAGAACCATCAAAATTGACGATAAAAAACTTTAAATACATGTCTCAAGACACTTTGATCAAGGAGACCCATCTCTGAAATGGACAAGAATAAAAAAAACATATTTAGATGACATTAATAATAGGTTTTTACAGGGCAAGTTTGCCTTAAGAAACATATCGACGCATCTAATAAAATATTGGCTCGAGGGCTTATGCCGTCCAAGCATGCCGGTATCGTCTTTACCTTTTACTGCATGAGCATAATGCGAAAAATGGCTGTTTTCATTGAATTATAATTAAGCCTCTTGTTACAAGTTCAAACTGCTATGAAACTATAAAAAATCAAACAAAATACTGATCAAACTGGGCACAAATGTTAGCTGGACCATAGCCTGTGGAATAGTATGCTCAATTTTAAATTTCCAATTATCATGGCAACGGGGTGGGGGCGTCTCAAAATTGCCAAAAACCTCTATTTTGCGTTGTTTTTTTCCCCATCAAAACTGATTTCAAGGTGCACCAACTTCTCAATTGATTGAGATAAAGTCTTAGGTTTTCGGTGTTTTTTACACGGTACCTTTAAATCGACCTGAGGTCATTTAGCCCCCAACAAGTCCCAAGTCTTCTCGGCGATTAGAGGGGCTACTGCCCCACTTCAAACCCCCAAACAGAAGGGGGCACATCCCCCCCCCCCTGCGTAACCCTCTAGATGTACCTTCTTAATGGGGGTGGCGCCGAAAAAGTGATCACTCTTTTGAACAACATTTCTTAAACGAAAAAACCGTGTTTGGGGCCTAAATAGCGCATGTTTTACACTATTTGAGGCCTCAAAAGGGGTGGGGTGTAAAGCCTTCAAAACACGCCTTTATTAGGTAAAAGGTTATAAGGAACATAACGTTTTTATTGCATCTGCTGCCCTTTATCATAATCTTATCAAAATCTATTATTCGGTTTTTTGAGCTGTACCCGCTCGGCAGTCATACGGTAACTCATTGCTAATGGCGTAACAAAATTTCACGTGCAGACGGTCTGCCGTTGCTAGAGTGCAGGTACAAAATGCCCGAAAGTTACCTTTATATGGATTTTTGGCATAGTAGGAAGTCGGTTGATATTAGATATTGGCACACTTGCTCAATACCGTCTAATATTGACAATCTTGAGCCAGTATTAATGCACTTTGGATGCATTTTTTTACTATTTAAAGTAAGATATGCAATAATTATTAACAAATTCTGGAAAGGTTGATCCTTCGATAGCAACGAGAACATTATAAACACAGAAAATTGCTGAGTTCGTTCGGCTGAGATTTTTCACGAGCAGGAATGAAAATCTGGATTATTCGCAGATGTTTCCAGTAAAGTACCTCCGAATTCTGCATATTTTGCACATATAGTGTAAATAAGTATAACAGTGAGAAATATTTAAAATTAAATGTGGTAAATACTTTGTGTTCACTACTTGCATTTACTCTTCATTGATAACCAATACTCGTTACACTAAAAGCAATACTCGTGACACCGGCGGGCAACTCCAACGCAATACTCGGTACACTGACATGTGTATTTATTCTCAAAATGCATTGTCATCTGAGGTTCTATTGTTGATTGAGCATTTACAACATAAACATTATCATCATTATCACATTTCACTCGATTCAAGTTTTTCTTTTAAGGAAAGTATATGCACAAAAACATCAAATTTGACGGTTCCGAGCTCATTTATCACGTGAGCAAAGAGACGAATTTTACCTCCTAATTACATTTCAAAGCTATTTCTCAACATTTTTGGGGTTTCAGTAACTAGAGAAATTATCGTTGTATTTGTTTTTCTACAAAATTTATATCAAACCAATTCAAAACGACTAAATATCGTCACTAAACATACCTTCTTTCCTCGTTCAAAGTCGCGAAATGGGATGAAAGTCCTCATAATATCGAGAAATATCCGGGGTACGGTATACCGCAGTGTATACTGTCCCGTTGGAAAGTGACTAACTTTTTTAGGTTAATTAACAACAAAATGTAGTAACAACGTTAAAAATAATGACTAAATAAATCCTAGGAACCTTAAACTATAGTTTGTTGTATTTGAAGAATACACTAAAACGCCTACTCGACGTACACCTTTAGCACAATCGGTGCTTTGCTTCAAATCGGATGTGCGATTTTCCCAGTGCCAATGTTGTACGCTACATATTAGAAACTTTAAAGTAGGTGGTTCCATTTTCTGATGATATAAATCAAAATATTTTTATCAGATATTTTCTAAGTTAAAAACCATAGGTCAACCTTCCTACTATTATAACGTGTGTATTTACTTTCTCACCTCATTAGAATATATTTTGAGAGGGCAAAAATGCAAAACTATACGACCGTTTTCGCTGGAAAAAAAACAGTGTGCACCTTGATAAAAATGTTTTATTATATATAACAAAGTAATTTTAGCTATTAATTTTGACCAAATTATACTTGTGACTTGTGTAGACTTCCGACAACTTTAAGTAAAGTATCGATGTCAAAGAGTTAATACAACAACATTGATTTATTTTTTTGTCCAGTGATGCAGGTTATCCGCATGGTGCCTCAGGTTATGTGCGCGGTGTTTCAGATTATGCGCAAGGTGCTTCAGGTGCGTGCGTGG